TTTTTTTTTTTTTTTTTTTTTTTCAGAAAAAAAGAGAAGTCGGTAGGGTTTTTTTTCTATTTCCCAGACTGTTTATCCCTGAGGGCTTGGACATCTCAGCCACAGGATGCACTACCTCAAAGGCAGCAGCGACCAGGACTTGTGCCACGATGGTTTGGCCTGTGGTGAGAAAGGCTCGACGTGGCACGGTTCCGCGGGGTGCTGCCATGAAATCCCCGTGGGCACCACGGCCTTGCCCCCTTGCCATGACCCCGGCAGCCTCAGCCGTGACGTTGAGGGGTCCTGCCAGAGCGAACCGCAAGGCTGCCAGCCCCTCGAGCCGTGCCCACCCCGGAGCTGCCGCCCGCCTCAGCAAAGCTGCGATTTCGGCAAGCCCTGGCGGCGGGTGGAGGTGAGCCACGTGCAGCCCGTTTGCCCCCCACCTGTGAAAATCCATCGCCGGCCGCTGCAGCAGTACCGTCCACCCCTGCACTGTGAGGAGCCGGGCTGCTGTGGCAAACCCCGGAGGCGAGTGGAGCAGTGCCCGGTGGAGGATGCCTGTCCCCCCGTGATACTGCATCCCCGGCCGCTGCAGCACCGCTGCCCCTGCGCCCCGAGCTGCCGCCTACCCGTCCAGCGCTGCTGCCCGACCACGGCGCCGCTGCATCCCAGCCAGCACCAGCAAAAGCAAATCCCTCTCTTGCCCCCCTGCCTGCAGAAGAAATGATCACGGGGCCAGCGAGGCGCCAGGACCCCTCCTTGGCACGTGCCCACCCACCGCTCGACATGGGGGATGCTTCGCTCCTGGCCCGAAGCACCGACGGTGCCGCCTCCGCTTTCAGCGCGACACAAAGCCACCGTGGCTGGTGGCTCCTGGCTGCTCTTTGCACGCTGGATTCAAGGGTCTGCAGGGTCCCTGCTTGACCCCAGCACTGACACTTTAAATTCCCAGGGAATAGGCTCTAATCACCCAAACCCCACTTTGCTCTTCTAAGAAAGGGAGCAGCCTCGGGACGGAGAAACCAAACGGAAAGAGCAAGGACGGGGAAAGAACCTCCCATGGATTCACCTTCTCCCATGGGTTCGAGGTTGTTTGAAAACAGAGACAGGACTGTACTGGGAAAAAAAAAAAAATACACACTGTGACCGCAGGAGCAACAAGTACTCCTGCAATTTTACTTTCTCCCTGTGTATCTGAGAATAAAGTTTAAAAAATTGACGTTTGGTTCCTTTTTTTTTTTTTTTTTTTTCACCCCTCAGAAAACATCACCAACACGACAAGGAGATGTAAAAAGCTGTTCAAATTCCCGCAAGGAAACGTGTAAATTTAAAATCAAAAATTAAAGTTCACACCTGAGGATTTCAGCTCTGGCTGTAGCGGTTTCACCAACATCCGCACGCTGTCAAATCCTCCTCACTCTGGTTACCCCCCGCAGGACCGGAGGGGCTTCGCTACGGCCCGTCAGCGGGTGATTTAGGTACAAACAGTTTGCTCCACGCTGTGTGCCATCAGCCAGATGGTAACGCTGCACCGGGAGGCCATCCCCCACGTAAATGTTAATCATGATAATAAGTGCGCGCCCCAGCACGTGAGGTGTGTTTGTGCATGCCAGGAATGCGTGCGAGCTCTTCCCCCGCAGCTCCCCCCTGCCTGGTTCTTGCAGACGCGCTGGGAGCGTGCTGTTTCTCTCACTTTGCCGGAAAACCCTTCCACTAGGTGCATTAAAATACATTTTATTGTTTCTTTGTGTTGCCTGAGCATAGCCCCGGCGCGTTTGCCCAGCCTCTAGCAACCACCAAGAAAAACCAGAAAGAAAAAAAAAAAAAAAATTCATTCTTGTTTTCTTCATGCAGCAAACCACAATTTATTTTTCTTATGTCTAATTTTAACTGAGAAACACATATTAAATTTAACTTCAGAAATCCATTACTTGGTTACTTATTTTCTTCCAAGCCTCTTCCCACCGAAGCCAGTCCCCAGGCACCGTCCCAGCGCGGAGCCCAAAGGGCCGACTCAGCGCCCACAGACCAAGGCCCAGCTTAGCCCTCGCACCGGCACTTCCAGTTCAACTTTGGTCCATCATTTCTTCCGAGCTGCTTTTCTCCAGCCACCCCAATCTCCAATCCCAGTTAGTCCATCCCAGGCACGGGACCATTTTTCCAGCTTGCCCAGGTCCCATCTTCCCGAAATTTCAGCCACTCACCACAATTAGGTGCCACATGATTTCCCAAGTCCGCCCCATTATCCAAGACATTAATGAAGATGTTAAATGGCGCCAGCACCAGTATCAGCCAGTTTTTCACCCACCATGCACTTTAACCATCCGGTCCATACCTCCACCAGCTTAACTACAAGGCCGCCGTGGGAGGCTGTGCCCAAAGCCTTGCAGAATTTGAGGCAGCACCGTTCACTGCACTCCACCATCTGCAGAGCCATCCCCTTCACCACCGAGACCCATCAGCGCAAATTCGATTTTTGTGTCTCTGACCCATCACGTGTTTATACTTCAGGCACCTGGAAATGCTCCTCACGGGTAGCAAAAGGAAAAGGCCGGGACATTTATCACTGGGCACATCACGGCTCCTGACTCACGGGTCACCCGTCACCCTCCACTCAGTGTCTCGGTCCTCTGCAGATGGTGAATAAGTTCATTATTACCTGCCTCACACAGCCAATGGGTGGCTTAAACGACGTGAGTCCTTTATGTGCACCATTCGGTAACTACATTATAATTAAGAGATGCTTATCAGGGATAATGAGTCAAGCAGATCATGCCAAGTGCTGGGAACAGCATCCAAATGGAGGAGATGTTTTGTCAATAAATAATTTAGTCCCCGTTCCTGCGGCGTGTTTCATTTACAAGGAGAAGTCTTGGAACCATATAAAAGGCCTCCGTCCCTTCGTCTCTCATAATCTGCTCCCCTGGTCAGCGTCGGCCTTCCCTTGTGAGTTGGGTAAGACACAGCCTGGAGCAGCTGGGTTCATTTTTGGATGGGTGTTGGGATTCCAGAGGTCACAGACCTGGCACGTAAGGGCTAGAGGACGATGGGCTAAAAGAAGCTACTGGGGGACTTGGGTATGGGATTTGCAACAATGCCACTACATGCTGCGGTGTCTTATGGTTGTTTCTGTTCTTGGATGGAAAAAAAAAAAAAAAATCAAGGGTAAGGTCAGAAAGAGGTATTGGACAACTGCAAGGATTTCCTTTAGATGCAGGATTTCAGGATAAGAAAGGTTGACCCCTGCATGGGCCACTAAAGTGGCTTTATGGGAAAATAAATGTAAACAGAGAAGGTGGAAATTCAAGCCTATGTGGCCACGTCTTTTTCAGGTTTTTCCCTACAACTCAGACATGATCTATTCTTCTGGGAGAGAATCATACTTCAACTTGAACTCAACCTGGTATGATCCCTCGGGATCCTGGCTGGACACCCGGCGCACGCCCTTCCGCTACGGCTACAACACCTGCTCCTCGGGGTGTGATGGCGAAGGCGTTGAAGGCATGAGAGGCCACAACTACCGCCATTACGGCTACCGGCAGCCCGTCTGCTCCGAGAGATGCCATGGCTATGCCGCGGCTGATTCTTGCCATGGAGGTGGGGGCTCAAGCTGTGTCAGGAGACCCACGTACAGCTACGGGTCGTCGGGGGGATGCCAGAGCTACGGGAGGTCGGTCTGCTCTGAGAGATGCCACAGGTCCTCGGGTTCAAGCCACGGAGGTTGTTCAAGCTGTGTCAGGAGACCCACGTACAGCTACGGGTCGTCGGGGGGATGCCAGAGCTACGGGAGGTCGGTCTGCTCTGAGAAGACGTGCCACGGATCAGGGCACCAGGGCGGAAAGCCGTGCTACAGCAAGCCAAGGCAGCAAATCGCCCAGTGCTGCCCAGTGCAGACCTGCCCCGCGCCGGTGCAGCAAGGCTGCGTGCCCGTGGCAAAATGCATCCCGAGCCAGCAGCAGCAGCAGGTCTGCAAAGTGCCGGCTCGGAAGATAAAGTAGAGGGCGCGAGGAGTGGGGATGAATGGGGGAAACGTCTCCCTCTTGCAGCGTTGCCCTGATGGGTGACACAACCCACGGATCTCCACTGTTCCTGTCCTTCTCCTTGTAACATGCTTTCTGAAGGTGTAACCCGCCGTCTCTGTGAAATATCAAGAGCCATTCGCCTCCTTATTTCACAGCAGACATGGAGGCAATAAAAAAACGATGCTTCATAACCCCCTTGCATCAGTGTTTTCCGCTTCATCCCGTTGAATTGTTTCCGTTCCTCCTTGCGGCCAAAGCTGGTGCTGGCAGCATCCCTGTTCCCCCTCACGTCGAGGTTCCCGGTTGATTCAACCTTTTTATTTCTACTCCAGACAACTTCCTGGAGTTGAGAAGTAGCTAACAGTTTTCATCATGGATTCTTTACGCAACCCAGCAATTAAATACTGATTTATTAACGCTAAGGTAAAAAAAAAAAAAAAAAAAAAAAAAA